AACCAGGACATAAGTTCCATTTGAAGAGTCCAGTGATCCAGTCCTCCCAGTGCCTTTCGCTGACATTTTACTACTACGTGAACAGGACGATGACAATAAATGTCTACATAGAGGAACAAGGTAGGTCACAGCCTTCTAATCCTGTCACTTTTAGATGCAGTGGAAAGGTGGGCCAACATGCACAAACAGGACACACGCGGCCACACACAGAGACATGCAAACGCACATACACACACACACAAATACATAAACATGCAGTCCCACATACAATAAACACACACATGGATACGCAAACCTCCACATACAAAAAAAAACACGCGCTTCCACGTGCATAAGCATGATCGCATGCACGCAGCATCCACAAACATTGTGTCAGGCATGTGATTCATCTATGTAATGATGTCATTTAAAGTTTGGGTTTGAGCTAGAAGAGTATAGGGTTTCCTGTATGCCTGAAGAAATGTAATGTAGCCATGGTGTTATGGACCAGGCCAGACTCCCTCAAAATATTTTAAGAAGGCAGCCTAGACCCTAACTTTTTCTTATTTTAAAGCTGCAGAGTGCCGTGTTCCACATGTGATATAAATGGTCAACTACTCGATGTTAAGCAAAACACAATTTATTTAAACACTGTAGTTATAATGCATACAAAAGAAAGGAATTTGGAATAACTTAACTATTGGAAAACTTAACTGAATAGTAGATACAGTGACTTTTACAAACTAACTGCTCCAACATAGTAACATCCCATTAACACACCCCTTGGCAAAAAGGCAAATTCAGACACAGATTCTTACATGCAGTTCTCCAATCCAGGAGGAAATAACATCAAGAGAGATTTCAGAGAAAGTAGCAGCTAGGAAGCATTTACTGAAGCTTCCAACTCTTCTCAGACCCCAAACAGCTTCTGACAGCTAAAGCTAAAAAAAACTAGAAAGTCTGGTCTGTGAGAGCTGGTCACTCCCATTCAAGTTGTTTCTATTGTTCCAACTTAAAAAAAACCTAAAGACCTCCTAAGTTGTTTACTTAAGTCGTTTCCAGTAGCCAGTTCAACACCTTTGCCTTTACAGCCTCTCCAATAAAACCCAGGACAAAATAACCTTTTTAAAGTGACAGCATTGTCACAATGGTGATTTCTTTTAAAATACAGCATTAGAGAGAGATTCTTCCTGGAATATAACTTTTGCATTGTTTACAGTGGGGGGAGGGGTGGTTAGGCTTTCATATAGAAGATTCTGGATTTTTAGGGCATAGGGGAAATACCCATTACTGTTTTTAGGAAGTTTTGCAGAAGAATTTGCTGAAACTGGATGTGTAAAACAGAGATTTATAAGAAGGGCAGGTTAATTCAGTGTAAGGAATTCTGTTTAAAAGTTCCAGACCAGAGGTGTTTAGTTAAAACCATGAAAAGATTATCTGAAGTTGAGAAAGTCTAAGCTCAATTATAAGAGAGCTCCAGAACAGGCTATCAGATTCACAAGACGAGATATTAAAACCACAATTAACTTAAATCCTAAGAGAAGGTATGAATTCTGGGAAGGATTATTCTTGGGATTAATGGATTTGTATTTTACAATGGGTTCTGAAATTTGTGTTTTATGTCAATAGTTTGGTTTGTTCTATTTTATCTCCATGTTCTTTTGCATAATAAATTTATGTTTTATTTTAAAATCAAACCTGCAGCATTGTGTGTTTGTGAAAGAGCCTATCATTAAAACCAAAATGAGATGTGGTCTATCAAGGCAGATTTCAGTGTGAGATCTGACATGACTAGAAATAACATTAGCTGGAATCATAAAAACATACATGTGCAGCAATACGTACATGGATATACCACATATGTATGCAAACATGTATGTTAGTAGACAAGGATACACACACATGCATGTACAAATATGCATTCACATTAAGTGACCAGGCACACATGAATATGCATACAGGTACCTTCACAGACACACAGGAGAGGTTTTACACTTTATCATATGTGCAAACATGCACTTATTCATGCACATACAGACAAAAACTTACATTTACTCAAGCTAGCACATGCAAACACAAACTCAAAGAGACACATGATCAGAATCACGCACCCCCACACATGCAAACTTTGGTTGCAATAAAACCAGCCCATAGAACATAGAACACAGAAGAGTACAGCACAGGAACGGGTCCTTCGGCCCACAATGTTGTGCCGAACATGACGCCAAATGAAACTAATCCCTTCCACCTGCCCTTGGTCCATATCACTACATTCCTTGCATAGTCATGTGCTTATCTAAAAGTCCCTTAAACACCCCTATCGTATCTGCCTCCAAACCTGGCAGCACATTCCAGACACCTACCACTGTCTGTATAAAACTTGCCCCTCACATCTCCTTTGAACTTTTCCCCTCTTGCCTTAAATGCATGCCCCTGGTATGAGACATTTCAACTCTGGGAAAAAGATTCTGACTGTCAACCCTATCTGTGCACCTTATAATTTAATAGACTTCTATCAAGTCTCCCCTCAGCCTCTGCCACTCCAGAGAAAACAGCCCCAGTTTGCTAGCCTCTCCTTATACCTCTAATCTCCTGCACCCTCTCCAAAGTCTCCACATCCTTCCTGCAACATGGCAACTAGAATTGAACGCAATTCCTCGACCAATAAAGGCAAGCATGCCAAACCACCCTATCTGCTTGTGTGGCCACTTTTACGGAGCAATGGACTTGAACCCCAAGATCCTTCTGCTGTTCAGGGTGCTGCCCACTCGAGCGTAAACAGCCACACTGTCATTTTCTGATATCCCATTGCCTGACGATGTGCTCTTGTTTTCTTTGGTGTACAATAGGATCTTTAGGGAGGCCGTTATTCTATACTTCCTCTGGTAACCCACAGCAGCAATGGACGAAGGCCCAGGCAGTTTATTGTGGAGCAACGCCTATTCAGGTAAGGGAAGACAAGGGGATGCTACAGGAACCTGGGTGGGTTGCTCACTGGTGATGGTGTTTAGATTCTTGGAACAAGTTGAGAGGTGATGCCTACAATGCTCAACAGTGTGCTTAATTATGTGGGTCTGGATATCAATTAATTGATAGGCTCTGTGCTTCGTTAGGTGAGGACTCGGAGCAAAGTAAACAGACACAGAAGCTGCTGGAGGGTTGGGCTGGAATGCCAAAAACATCACGTGGCAAACACACCACCTTCCCACACATATTTGGGGCTGACACCCCCAACACACTCGTTAGGTGGCTGTTGAAATTAGTTGCGTTGCATTATATTTGGACCAATAATCAAAGGTTATTTAGACTTGTTCACTAAACTATATTGACCTGAATAATACACACTAACCATGGCATTAATATGACTGGCAATCAGAGTGGGATTGGGCAGGCGTTTACAGAGGCAAACGTGAGAAAAGGTGACATGGGATGGGGGGGTACATCATTTGGGGGAGAATGGGGGTGCCCTGCACACTGCGGGAGAACACTGCCACTCCCCTGACACACACACACACACACACACACACATACGCGCACACACATGCACATACACGCGCGCGCGCACACACATATACACACAATAGATGCTGGACCTTAACAAAATGACAGGTGAGGAGTTGAGGTGAGGAAGGTCATGTATTATGATCTAACTCACTGTCTTTCTGTTTCCAGTTTATTATAGAAGGTGTTTCAGGAGACAGCAAGACTGCTCAACTTGGAGTGGACAAAGTCTGCATCGGTGACTGTTTGGGTAAGACCAATCCTAAGTGCATCTCCTCGGTTATCGGCACTGGAAGCAAAATAAATCATTTCTTTTAACCTCACATGCCACTGGAACATAAGAACTCAAGAAACTGGAAAGGAGGAGGCTATTAAGCCCATCATGCCTGCTGTGTCATTTTATACAATCGTAGCTGATCTTGGGCATGAACTTGCCCATTCCCTAAAAGCCCTTGATCCACCGAGAGACCACACCTCTGTTGGTCCCAGCCTTAAATATATTCAGCAATGGAGCCTCCACAACTCCTCTCTGAAGAGAATGTTCCTTGTTCCAGTCAATCGTAGAATCCCTACAATGTGGAAGCAGGCTATTCAGCCCATCGAGTTCACACTGACCCTCCGAAGATTATCCCACTCAGATTCATTCTATTCCTGTAATCCTGCATTTCACATGGCTAAGCCACCCTAACCTGCACATCCTTGGACTGTGGGAGGAAACCCACACAGACATGGGGAGAATGTGCAAACTCCACATAGCCAGTCGCCCGAGGGTGGAATTGAACCCTGGTCCCTGGCGCTGTGAGGCAGCAATGCTAACACCATGTATCCTAAAGGATTGGCCCCCTACCCTGACACTGTGCCCAGTTGTTCTCGATTTCCCATTAAGGGAGAACACCCAGCAACAACGTCTAATTTTTGCAGTTACTACAGCTCACTTTCTTACTTCTGATTTCTTTGCAGAAACACTGTCACCATCCACCCCCTGGACCCCATCATCCACATACAGAACCCCATCATCCACCACCGAGACCAAACCATCCACCCCCTGGACCCCATCATCCACATACAGGACCCCATCATCCACCCCCGAGACCACACCATCCAC